AGGAGAGACTGTTGAAAAGGACTTGGTTATTATCCTCTCTTCAGCAACCAGGGCTCCAGCTCCTGTCGAGGAGCCGTCAGTGAAAACTGTCAAAGCACCAGTAAGAGGATGAGAGCTGGTTTTCTCTGGAAAAACCACAGGATGTCGCTGTAAAAATTGTAATAATGGGTGTTTTGGAAGATGATTATCAAAAACTCCTTGATAGGTAAACATTAAGATGGACCACTCATTGCTACACCCACTCAGCACTTGTAATTGTTGAACAGTATAGGGAACTACTACGCGGTCTGGATAGCGCCCAAAATGACACAAAGCTAATTTTAACCCCTTAAGTACTATGGACGCGACCGCAGATGGATACCATTGAATAGACTTAATCTGAGAAATCTGAGAATGAATCCAAAGCAATGGGCCTTGTTGCCATAACACAGCAGTGGGGAAAATCTCTGTAGCTAACACACATAATTCAAAAGGCTGATCTTGATCTAGGCGAACTAATTGAGCCTTCTCTATGGCCTCTTGAACTTTCACTAAGACCTGTTGTGCCTCAGGTGTGAGTGTTCGTCGGGAGGCAAGATCAGAATCGCCTTCAAGTAGGGCGAACAGGGGCTTTAACTCCTGAGAAGAGATCTTGAGGAAGGGTCGTAACCAATTAATATCCCCCGCTAATTTTTGAAAATCATTCAGTGTTCGCAAATGAGAAATTTTAAGACTTATCTTTTGAGGCCTAACATATGTTTCTGTGATTAAAGATCCTAAAAAGGCTTTTACCTGCTGCATTTGAACCTTCTCGGCTGAAACTATAAGGCCATAATTCTGTAGAGCCCGCTTCAAATCAACATAAATCTGTAATAACTGGTCTTGGTTTTGGGCACAAATTAGAATATCGTCCATATAATGGACAATACGAGCTGTTGGAAACCGGTCTCGTACCGGCTGTAACACTTGGGCAACATAAAGCTGACACATGGTGGGGCTATTAGCCATTCCCTGAGGCAATACTTTCCATTGATAACGCTTATCCGGCTCTTCATGATTAACAGAGGGAATAGTAAAAGCAAACCTCTCCCTATCTTGTAATGCTAATGGTATAGAAAAAAAGCAATCTTTTAAATCAATCACTAATAACGGCCAGTGTTTAGGGAGGGATGACAAAACTGGGAGGCCCCTTTGAACGGGACCAAAACATTGCATCTGTGCATTTACAGCTCTTAAATCATGCAAAAGGCGCCACTTTCCTGATTTCTTTTTGATAACAAAGATAGGAGTATTCCAAGGAGAAACAGAGGGCTCTAAATGTCCCAAATGTAATTGTTCCTGAACTAATTGTTGAGCAGCTTGGCATTTCTCAGAGGATAGCGGCCATTGGGGAACCCAAACCGGTTCGGCTGTTTTCCAAGGTAGGGGCAGCTGCATACCAATGGCTGCTATTAAAAACCCAGGGGGGTGCTGAAGGTGCCGGAGTTGTGGGTGCCTCTTGGCTCCGCCCATTGCGGGAGGAGGGGCCACAACGTCCCTCCTGGCCCTCGCGTTCCCTGGAGTCTTTCTCACCTCTCCTTTTTCTATTATAATCTTTTCTTGATCTACGCTCTTCCTCTGAGTCTAAAGATTCTGTATCTGAGGAAGAGGGAGCTACTTTTAACTTCTCTAACTCCGATATCGGGTAAAGGGAAGATTTTTTCTCTTGACTATGGCCATTTTTATTGTTTTTCTCATTTTTCTTGACTCCCTTTTCTTGTTTAAGCTTGGTACCAACTCTCTCCTCCCGCTCTGTTTCTGAGAGGCTATCTTGGGCTAATTGAAGGCAATCTCGACCCTGAGTCACAGCTTCTTTGCACCGGTCGTCTTCTAAACATGCACGAATCAATCTCCATAGTGGCATAACTCCCGGACTCAAACGGTCACGCTCCTTAGCTCTCTGTAAATCTTTACCGAGTTTCTCCCAGGACCGCGGAGTCAATGATCCGGAAACCACATACCAGGGCGCATGACGGTCTACTTCTTTGATAAAGCCTTCCAGTGTACGTTCACTAACCTTTAATTTACGTGCTTTCAAAAGTGCCTGTAAAGGCTTAATCAAGGAAGTCTGCGCACCCATGTCTCAGGGTTAAATTCCTCAAGCCCAGTAACGCCTCCCTCTCAGAGCTCCTTACCTATTTATGGCCGCGGTTCTGACTTCTCCCCGTATGGCACGGGGGGCCTTCCTCTAGGTCCCGAAATTTCCCGGGTTTCGGCACCAGTTGTCACGCCCACGCTCCTATCGACCCGCAATAAGAGGCAGACGCGAGTGAAGTCTTCCGCGGTAGTCTTTATTGTGCACACCAAGATGATGAAGAGGAAGGCCCCGACCCAGCTCGTGCTCTCGCTCTTATCGGGGATGGCTCCGCCCAAGTGGCGGCTTATTGGTGAGCCTCTAGACCACGCGCCAATCCTGCAGTTTGGATAGGGCAAGAGGCCTGTGCACGCGCTGATCACACCGCTGTTCACGCGTCAGCCCTCAGCGCATGCGCAAGCGCCTGCGCAATACTCTCCAATGTACGTGACAGGAGCTACTCCTGCTGACGTGTTTATTTCCGCCAGGCGCCATCTTTAGGCCACCGTGTGTGGCAATCAACAGGGGTTGGTGCTGTGGCACAGTGAATTAAGCCACTTCCTGCAGTGCCTGTATCCCTTATGAGTGCCAGTTGGAGACCTGGCTCTCCACTTCCAATCCAGTTTCTTGTTAATGGCCTATGAAAGCAGTGGAGGATGGCCCAAGTCCTTGAGCTGCTGCACCCAATGTGGGAGACCCAGGAGTGAACCAGCAGATGGAAGAACATCCACACTTCTCTTCCTGGACTCTGCCTTTCAAATGAACAAAACAGGGGCTGGCACAATAGCTCAACTGTCTAATCTCCCTCCTGCAAGCACTGGAATCGCATATAGGTGTTGTTTTGTGTCCTGGCTGCTCCACTTCCCATCCAGCTCCCTTCTTGTGGCCTGGGAAAGCAGTAAAGGATGGCCTAAAGCCTTGGAACCCTGTACCTGCGGCCATTTGGGGAATGAACCAGCAGATGGAAGATCTCTGTCTCTTCTCTCTGCAAATCTGCCTTTTCAATAAAAATGAACAAAATCTTACAACAATGAAATAGTTTCTAAAATTGGCAAAATTAATCTTTAAAAAATATATTTATTTTTATTGGAAAGGCAGATCATATTTATGGAAAGTGACAAATATCTTCTGTCCACTGGTTCACTCCCCAAATGGCCACAACAGCCAGAGCTAAGCTGATCTGAAGCCAGGAGCTTCTTCCGGGTGCAGGGTGCACCTATGGGTGCAGGGTCCCAAGGCTTTGGACCATTTTCTACTGCTTTCCCAGGCCACAAGAAGGGAGCTGGATGGGGAGTGGAGCAACCAGGACACAAACTGGCACCCATATGGGATCCCGGGTACTTGCAAGGTGAAGATTTGGCCATTGAGCCATTACACCAGGCCCGAAACCAATCTTTTTAAAATTTACTTGATAGATTGACCTTCTATTTGTTTGTTTATTCCCCAAACAGCTGTACCAGCCAGGGCTGGGACTGAAAGCAGAAGCTGGGAGATTTACCTGGGTCTCCTCTGTGAGGCACAGGGACCCAGGACTCTGAGCCATTACCTGCTGCTGACCAGTGTGCACACCAGAAGAAAGCTGGGAGAGGAGGCAGGGCCTGGCTTGAAGGCATCACCCTGAGATGAGCGGGGGGGGGGGGTCTCCCTGGCAGCACCTCAATCCCTGTGCCACACCTTCATGCCCATGTTGGCCTTAACGACCCCTGCATTATCAGAGGGTACAGTTGTCTCTGCTAGATTCATATATATTTTTTTCTTTTTTCATAAGACAGGACTTACTGCTTTAAATGGAAAAGTGACGGAGATTTCATCAGCTGGTTCACTCCCTAAATGGTGGCAAGTCAGGTCTGTGCCAGGCCAAAGCCAGGAGCTTCATCCAGGTCTCCCACATGAATGGCAGAGCCCAGGTGCTTGCTTCCCTGGGAGTATCAGCAGGGCGCTGGATCAGGAGCAGAGCAGCCAGGACTCAAACCAGTGTTCCAGTATGGGATACTGGTATTACAGGCGGAGGTTTAGCCTGTAGCGCCACAACACCAGCTCCATGAATAATATTCTTGAGGTTCATTCCTCTTCTTCCTTGTCACATGTAGGGGTCAGGAGGTGGGGAGCTTTACAGCTTCTGTTTGGCAGGACAACGATGCCCAGGCCGGGTGTCTGGCAGACAGCAGCTGGGAGAGACACAGGGCCAAGCTTTAGTAAAAGACTGTTGGTGACTATTATGTGACTTCTGTGATCAAATAAACCCTGGTTCATTAAAAAAAAAAATGTAAAATTTGACTTGTGTTTGTGGGTTTGTGTATTGAACTTGATTTGTAATTTATTTCCCAGCCCCTGGTGTAAAGACAGTAAGTGGGCCAGGGACACAGTGGGATGAGCCCGCGCCCAGTGCAAGGCTGTGTGGCCAGCAGAGATAGGACTGCCCTTGGCTGTAAGCCACTCCTGGAGGGGCTGGGGGAGGCACAAGAGCTTCTGCCCCCGTCTCTGATATTGCAGAATAGAGTGAGACCTCTGGTGCGTCCCGCAGTGACAGCTGTGGCAATGCCACCATGCGAGAACATGGTTGGCCTTCCAGGAAGCCACTGGGACCTGAGACTGGGACCCTATCCTGAGAGCTGCTTCGCTACATACTCAAGGAAGGGACCCATGGCCAGTAGGGTGGCTGGAGAGAAAGACAGGAAGGGCTGCCAAGCCTGCCATGTGCCCACCTGAGCAGAAGCCCAGGAGTCCCAGCTCCTGGACTTGGCATCTACCATGGTGGGGGTGGGGTGACAGGGATTGTCCTATGAGGCTGAGTCCCTGGCGACAAGTCTGCACCTGCTCTGTGGGGCAGTTTTGACTGGTCCTTCCTCAACTCAGGACAACCAATGGCTGTGGCCAGAGGCGGTGACATATGGAGGACAGTGCAGTGAGAGGTGGCCATGGGTGTTTATTCTCAGTGCATGGCAGTGCTGGCTTCTACTCAGCAGCAAAAAGCTTTATTGGGTTCCCCCATCGCCCTTAAAAAAAATGATCCCTTTGATAACACCTTTGCTAATTCTTCCCTTCTCAGTGGAACAGCACATTTCAATGTCAGATTTGCCCGTTTATAGTGGTCCCCCACCCCCACCCCAAGAACCACATAAATACATGCAAAATATTGTCCACAGAGCTTAGAGAATACCAAGATGCAGTTACAGACCAGGTACATGTAAAAGCTGACTGCAAACTACATGGCACACACATCGCTTCAACAGCATTTTCTGTTTATGTCATGCAGACTGTAAGAATCAACCTTTTGTTTCACTTTTTTTTTTTGTACAAAAATACCAGTGCATGTTCTATTAGCTAGTGTAAAGGAGGGACTTGAAGGTCATATCTGGCAAAGAGAAAAACATACACAGGCTTCTTGGCACCAATATATGGCATATATACATATTGGGTGAGGTGGGGTGGTAGACGGGAACCAAAAGCCGACCCAAGCACGATCTGCTCCCCTCCCTCTGTGTCTCCTAGTCAAGGTAAAAGGTGACAGCAGGCCGGACGGCAGGGACAGGAGGGCAAACAGGACCCACGTGGAGCCATGAGGGAGAGGAGCTGGCTGGCCTATCTTGGATGAGGGGCTGGAGTTCCCAAGCACCCACGCCCACCTGCGTGGTGGTCCCTCTGCAAGGGGACAGGTGAGGAGGTGTCAGAGGGTGACGGGACCATGGGATGCTTCATCTGGGACGCCAGGGCAGTGGCACAGAGAGGCCAGGGAGCGTGTTGAGGATTTTCTGGCACATGCGAGTCAGCCAGGCCGCTCTGGGTTTGCAGCAGTGAAGTCCATTGTTGCTCAGGCAGCTGAGCCATTCTCCCCTCTGATGCTCAAGGCAGAAAAGGAGAAACCCACCCCCCCAAAACCCAAGTGCCTGGCTCCCTCACTGTCGGGGGACGCCCATCCCCAAACCTGTCACCCAGGGCCAGAACCCATCACTGCTATCTCCAGCTTAGAGCTCCGTTGCCCTCTGGTCCATAGCACAAAACCTATCTAGGGGAGGAAAGGAGTCACCAATTCACCAATCAACTCCTTGCACAAAAGCCTGCTGATGGAAAACTCCCAGGCAAGCAGGAAGCAATGGAACTTTTAAGAGAAAAGCAAACCACAGATCGGAGTATCTTGGTGACCCGGAGTTATTACGGTCTTTGGCCCCACTTTGCCTGCTCATCTCTGGGGCACATGCCACTGGCGGATGGTTGGATTTTAACGGCAGCCGGGCTCCGCGGGCCGGGCTGGGCAGAGGTGGGCTCCTTTCCCGTGGGAGGGGGCCCTCGCCAGCTGCTATGCCCCACTGCCTCTTCTCTGTTCTCAACAGAGGATGCTAGGCCCGAGGCTCTCTCCTTCTCCCCGTGAGACCCTTTGCACAAACCAAAGCACCGTTTTCAGGGGAGAAGCACTAGGGACTTACGCCGTATGTACTCAACGTCCGCTGGGTCGCTGCAACTGAATAGAAAAAACTCACATAAAAAAAGATACGTGCATGTAAACACCAAACTTACTTATTTCCATATCAACGACATTTATATTAAAAAAAAAAGGCTAGAACCCGACAAAAAAAAATCCCCCCCCGGCAAGTACAAAGATGGCTGTTTGGAGAAAGGAAGTAGGGTGTCTTGGTTGTAAAACCAGTGAGTGACCCTTGGAGTCACCTGTTGGAGCCGAGAGCTAGGTGGGCACTCCCCTCACTGGGGGTCCGTGATGGCACTGCATGTGAAATCCCTTAAATAAAAACACATATGGCTGACTTAAAAAGATCCATTTCTGAGCTAAAGAAAACTATATATATATTTTTTTGCATAATATTTCTATATTTTCTCTTCTACCATGGAAACTAGAACACACACATGCGCACGCACGCACGCACACACACACAAAATAAACCATCTGACTTAAAAAAAAGAGAAAGAAAGTAGACATGAGCCTCCCAGGTCACCTGTCAGGCACCACGAGGGGCTTCTGGGAGCAGGAATTGATCAAAGAGCCTCCAGAGCTTGGCATTGGCTTGCTTTTGAGAATGATCTGAGGTAATCAAAGACTCGAGTGAGAATGAAATCTTCCCAATGCATGTAAGGAATATTTCTATGAACACCTCGACACCTTAGGTGAGCTGTTTATTACCTCCTGGTGAGCACTGAAGACAAGAAACTTTGCTGACGCACGTCGCCTTTACCAAATGCAGACCCAGACCCCACGTGCCCTGTCAGGATGGAGAATGTGGCAGTTGGGGGGCAGGGAGTGCAGGGGGCATGGCTTCTCTGTTGCTCCTGCCTTACGGGGTTCAGGTGAGGGGGGGAGGCGAGGGAGCGGGTGGGATGGGCAGGCCTGGGTCACTGCTGCATCCCCTACCCCCGCTGCCGCCACCCCAAGTGGGAAGCTGACAGCTGACACACCTTGAGCCCCCCGTTTCATTCCCATCGTTCTAGGAGGTGGGTGGTGGGTTTCACTGATCTCCGGGGAGACTGCCCCCTCCCCACGCTACACAGAAGACGAGGTCGTCACCGTGGGCAGGAATGGGCAGGGGCTTCCTCCTGCCAGGCTCCTGAGAGGCACGTGGGGAGGGGAGGCTCTAGGCAGTGTTCCGGGGGAGAAGGCACCGGGACTGTGCTGTGTGGCAGCTGGGATGTGCTGCTGGAGGGGGCGCGTGGTGGTGGGGGGTGAGAGAGAGGAGACGCCAGCAAGCAGGGGGCGCTCTTCAGGCTGGGCCCGCTGCTCGCGTGAGGCAGTACAACATGACAGGCTTTCCCTCTCAGAAGACCAAGAAAAGCTGAGGTGGGGTTGGGGGAGGCCTTCTCAGAGGCTGGCAAGTAGTGGGGCGTGGCAGAGAGCAAACCTAAAAGCTGAAGTGGCCATGCAGGCCAGCTGGCAGGTGCAGGCACCAGAATGCAGGGTTCCTGGCCCCTGGAGGGAGGCTTTCTCCAGCCCTTCCCGAGTAGCCCTCTGGCCTCCTGCACCCAGCAGCCCAGGCCCTGCTCTGGCTTTGAAAGCCGTGTGGTTTCTCCACGTGTGTCTGTCTGCTTTAAAGGCCTGTCTTAGACCTGCCAGCTTCCTGATTCTCAGGATTTGGGGTAGGGGCAGGGTCACCCTGATTCACTCTTCTGCCAACACTTGAGAAACAGGAGGGAGAGCACTCAGGGCCAAGGTCAGGACTGTTTCTATCTGACACATGCAAGCTTCTCGGTCAAGGCTGCACTCCCGGATACCTGCCAGTCACACACCCACCTGACCAGATGGCTGTGTAGCAGAAGCGGAAGGGAACCTGGCAACAGCAGGGTGACCATCCTCTCGGCTCTTACTTGCTTGCCAAGGACCTTTCCAGAAAGGAACCCAACTGCCTTGCAGCTACACTGAGGTTTCCACAGGGCTAGAAAGGAGAATGGTCAGAGTCTACTCGATTTGTCTGATGTCCTTTCTAGTCTCTTGATCGCAAGATTAAAAAACAGAAACAAAATAAAGTAAAGGGAAGGAAGACACTGAGGGTTATAAGAGACTGGAAGGATCCTGGGGAGGTTTGATTGGAGGGGCAGAAAGAGCTAGAAGTATTTGAGTTGGGCCAAGTTGTTTGCAAAATAATCACTGATTCTACCCATCCTAGCCAGACCTCCGCATTGCCCTTGAGGCTGCCAGTCTGACCCTGAACTCTCCGCGTGGCTCGGCCACGGCACAGACTCAGGATAACATCCAGAAGTCAGAAGGTCACGCACGTACAGATACCAGGGAGGGCCTGGGCTGGGGCGACGTCACCAACAGGATCATCATCTTTCCTGGACAGAGGGCACCTGCCACCCCGAGGTGGAGAAAGGGCTCTCATTGCCTGCCTGGGGTTCTACAGGGTTCCACTACAAACCCCAGCTCGAGGTTAGGTTGCAATTCAGGTAGGTCTCTGCCTTTTTTGCCTCTTCGTGGTCAGGTGGTGGTAGTGGTGGTGATGGGGTGTAGGGGCGTCCCCACACACCTGGGAGTGGCCGACACGCCAGCGCAAAGTTGCACGGTCACCTCATGGATGGGACAGATGAAAAGGGAAGTAGGGAGGGTACGGGGGAGGACAGAGGAGGCAAGTTCAGACCGAGGTCTCCAGGCTGTGCAGAGGGCTGTCTGAGCGGGAGGCAGCGGCTTGCGCTTGGGTGCGATCCACGGCGTTGTTGTTTTTGTTGGCGTACGGAGTGGCCTCGCCATCCAGCGGGAATGCCTGCGGTCCAGATTGCAAAGCCTTTTCCAGATTTTCTTCCTCTTGCTCATCTAAGAGTGGTGTTTGTGGCGACTCCTCATCTATGGCGAACTCAGGGTGGGTCATGAAGCTGTGGATGGAGTCCTGGTTCTTGGGTTTCTGAATGCTTTCGTGGAGGGAGCTATGGAAGGCTTTGACCACTTTGATCTACACGGGTGGGGGGGAAAGAAGGGAGGAGGAGAAAATTGCAAGGTGAGAAATCAGCCAGCGGAACGAGGAACTGGTGTGTTTAGGAGAGAAACAAAGCCCCCAATACAAAATATGACTGCTTGACAACCAGAACCAAGAGACCATGGGGCACAAGAGACATCACACGGTCCAACGCCAAGCATGAGGGTGGGGACGGTGGGGTGAGGGCGAGTGAGGGAAAATACCCGGCCGCGTCAAAGGCTGCATTAAAAAAAAAAAAAAGGAGACCCAGAGGAGCAGAGGTAGCATTCCCAAACAATCCACTCTTGAAACAGAAAACAGATTCATTAGTTCTTCCGGAGGGAGGGCAGGGATGTGGGAACTAGGTGCAAATGAACAGCCACACTATGACAAGATGACTCCTGCAGGTGCAGTTCTGTGTCGAGGCCAAACATCGTGAGGATGTGACAGGGAAGGAATTACACAGGGGAGCTGAATTAGCAGTTCCAAACCCTCCAACAGCCAATGTAAAACCAATCCGCACGCTGTGTGACAAGCGACCGTCGATGCGAGGCAGCCAAGCAGACAAACCAGGCTTGGCTCGCGTCAGCAGCATGCAAGCAAGGAAAACTCCAAACTTCACAAGCTGCCCTTGCGGCCGGAACAACATGCACGGTGTTACACCCCACAACCTCCACGCGTCCCCTATCCCTGAAGGAAAGCAGAACTTTTGGGCCTTCAACCCACTCCTACTCTGTCCTGCCTACCGAGAGAAGACCTGGCTCTCACAACTCCATTCCACCTCCACGGCTCTGACACATAGCACCTGGGCCCAATCGTGCCACTTTCTCCAGCTGTTTCCAAACTGTGAAGAGGAACATGGGGTTCCGGGAGCAGGAGAAGAAAGGCAGGGGGAAGCTTAGTTCAGGAAGCAGTGCTGCAGACAGGAGGCCTTTCTCATAGGGAACATCCAAGAAGACGGAGGAAAGAAAAAGGTGTTCGCTTTATCGGGCAAAACCAAACGTATGGGCCCAGCTCATTGTCTTCCTGCGCCGAAAGGAGAGGACTCACTCACCCAGAGGCCCCGAGCTTGGGTTGGAAGAACGGGAGTAGGGGGCAAGGACTGAATGCCAGGAAGATGGAGGAAAGTGGGCAAGAAAGGGAAGCAGCTGCAGGATGGTTTTGGTCCCTGGAAGGTGGCTGCTTCTAGCTGGTCCCCAAAGTCTTCAGTCCGAAAGGCAAGTGGGAGGCCCACAGGAGGGATGGCTGGGTGCTAGGGGTGCTAGGGGTGGGGAGGGGAGCTCTTTCACTTTCCCACCTCTTGGGCAAAAGCACATGCTTGTGTTGAGGGAAGAAGGTGAGGAGATGGAAGTGTACAAAGAGTCAGCCTCATAAAAGGGCTGAATCGCCTGTCCTGGGACTTCCTGCCACCGTGTAGAACCTTCTGGAACACTACGCAGTGCTGGTGGTCCCTTCTGCCTGGAGAAGGCCATGTGCCCACTGGCTAAAGTTTCCTGCTTGTCCTCATTCCAGCAGAGCCTGCAAATCCACTCGGCACAGAGGGTGCCCCGAGTGTACACAGCAAGGACTTCTTGCCCCTCAGCACCTCAGCCAGGAGGAAATCAGGGTGCCTGGGCACACACACCTGACTGAACAGAGCTGTGCAGCTGCGTCTCCATCCCTCTATGGATCCCTCTGAGCATAGCATGGGGGCATTTTACCTGGTGGCACGCGTTGGCTCTGGGCTGGAAGAGCTTAGGTGCCCATGGCAGCTCCAGCCAGCCTTCAGGAAGCCCCAGGTTTTCCTTGATCTACATCAAACCTCAGAGTGGAGTGACTTGCACCACATGAATACAAACTCAGCGTTTTCTGTCTTGGCTCTGGGAGCTACACAGGCCAAACGAGCGTGACCAAAGCCATCCCACCTGCTGCCCAAGCGATAACACAGCCTGCCTTTCCCGCCCATCTTGAGATCTGGAAACTTCCGAAGAGTACCACAGGGCGGTGGGCACCTTTTACCACTAGTTCCAGCAAGCAGTGGGAGTGCTCCATTGAAACGAGGACAGGGAAAATCTGTTCTTGACAATCCAGTGGAGGGAGGGTGTGGAGCCCTGTGGGCTGGCATTTCCTCTCACCTGCTGGGTGATGAAGCATTGTTACAGGTAAACAGTAAGGAGAGTGGAAGCGACTCTGGGATGAGAAGATGGGAAGGACAGGGAAGGCTATTGGTGAGGGGAGTAAGGACAAGTCATCCAGCTAGACTGCAGACCTTCTGGGCTCTAAATCGAACCTGTAAGGGAAGCTCAGGTGACGAGGGATCAGAGAGCTGCGGGGCACCACCTGGCCTGAGCGCAGAGAGAAGGACGAGGAGGCAGAGTGTGGGGCTCTGCCAGGTGGCTCCTCGACTCTGCCAACGACCTGGGGGAACATATGTGTCACCTCTGTGCATGGCAATACTGGCACTTGCCCCTCCTGGGAGCTGGCAGAGTGCTAGAGCAGCATGTGTGGCTAAGATGGGGCTAGGAAAGCAGAGGGCATGAGAACTTGAAGTCTTCCCCATTTAGTCAGTCCACCCTCTCCTCTCTGGTCAGCATGTCTCAAAATCTCCAGGGGACATGTTTTTTTTTGGGGGGGGGTGGCACCTAAGCTATGGGTCAAGATGGCTGACCAAGGATGACTTGGAACCCAAGCAGGCAGGACCACCGACCAGGTGTGAGTCCCCAGGGCCACTCTCTGGAGCCAAGTGGGTGGACAGAAGAGGAATGCATCTACTCAACTGGAGGAAGAAAAGGGTGGGGGTATCCCTGGAGGGGGAACCCCTGAAGAGCTATCTAATGAGGGTTAGTCCACTTCGAGATCTGGAATGGGAACAGTTATGAATTCGGGGACTTACAAGGAAGAAGGCACAGCTGGAGAAAGAGCAGGTGCGGCCTCCCTGGGCTTGGAGTCGCTCGCCTGGGAGGGCTTGGCCAGCCCCGCTGTGGAAGCCACTGGATGTTCAGCCTTGTCCTGCCAGTGCATCACTGCTGACGGCTGACAGTGACCCTTCCTGACAGAGAGGGATGACTTGAAAAGAACAGAGGCTAGTAGGAGGGGAGGGCACACGGGGAAGCAAGTAGGAAGTGAGAGAGGAACGCGGCAGCACTAGAGCGAGAGGTGCATGGGAATCTGTAGGGTGGCATCGATCTAGTTCTTCCTTGCCTCCCCCCGAGCCAATGGACGCGTGCGTATCTGCAAGCTCCACCTCTCAGTCTCATACTGGTATACTTTTAGTCAGCTCAGAAATCAAAACAAGCCCAATTTCTGTCGACCCGGCCAGTTCACAATCATGTGAACCACAGACAAGGTATTGGGGCTTCCTCCTTCGCCTCTGTGCCAGGGTTGGTGGTGGGGCTGGAAGAGGACTGGCAGACCTGAGAGGCCCCACAAGGCAGTGACAGAGAACCTCCATCATCATTAAACACCTTCGGGTTGCCGTCAGCCAGGAGCCAGCTGCCTGCCCTCTCTGTGTCCCCTCTGGGAAGGGGAGAGGATGAGGAACGCACAGCAGGAACAAGAATCCAACAATCTACCCCTAGGAGCAGCTGCTCTCAGCCTGAGTGGACAGCACTGTGATGGAGTGGCTGTCGGGAACAGGAGTTCCTAACAGTACAAATCAGACGGAGAGGGCTTGCTGGGGGAGGGGGGGAGGCAACTGAACCATGTAGAGGCAAAAAAAAAAAAGGTTGTTCTTTATAAATCCCTAAAAAAAGGAAAAAGGTTTAGTGAAAGAAGTAAACCGCGGGTGGCTCTGATTTTGTCACCTATTTCTCCCGCCAGAGTGAATCAACTGTGGCCTATGCAGGAGCCTGGTCTTCTGAAGGGCCCGGAGGGGCAGGTGACAAGGATGCTGCATCCTGCCTGCACTTTCACCTGATCTTTCTCCACTGCTGGGCTGAGCCTGCCCACTAACCACATGGAGCCAGCCGAGGACTGGGGCCCCAGCAGGCTCAGTCCTGGCTCAGCCGTGGCAGGGCCCAGAAGGCAGAAGATCCAGGGGCAGGCGCACCAGCTCTCCTTCTGTTGCTGTCAAGTGGAGAGACTCGGTGGGTTTGCATTCGGCCTTAGCCTGGCCCTGAGCTTAGGGTGGGCGAGTTTACACTCAAGAGGGGCAGGAGGAGATGGAAGCAACAAGGACATATCCAAAGGGAGCCAAAGGCAACGGGACAGCAACGACAGCAGCAAAGGCAAGGCAGAACGGAACACAGCGCCACAGAAGCAAGGAAACAAAGAGACCAAGAATGCAGGGAAACCACTGGGGAACAGGAGTACTGTCTCCAACACTTGAGGTTTAACAGCCTGATTTAGAGAGGGCTTTTTTATTTCCCCCCTTTTCTTCGCTTGTGTCAAAGGTTAAAAGGAAACACCCAAAGGAAGGGCTAACCGCGGGGGAGTTGAGGGTGGAGGCCACGTGCTCTCTTGTGGTCATCTTAGCAAATCATGCATCATAAGAGACTCTCACTCACTGCCCACAGAAGGAGATGACACGGCAGCAGCAACAGAAGTGGTGGGGGAGGTTCTGACGGGTGCAACGGCTACATAGGATGAGCTAGGAACCAGTTTTACATCAAGGTGTTGCCCCATGGTCTGCCGCCTTAGGACTCCCTTAACAGAGGCTCCCGTCTGGAATGTGTTAATTACTTCAATCTGCAAAGAATCAGAGAGTGAGACAGCTTTCAGAGAGAGAGAGAGAGGGAGAGAGAGAGAGAGAGAGAGAGAGAGAGAAAGGAGTAAGGAAGGGTGGTGGAGGGTCAAGGCAGGGGACAGCAGTGGCTGGGAAAAGGAGGGGTGTCCCTCACACACTGGGCAGTTCATTGAAGGAAGTTTTCCCTGGAGCCAAGGACACACCCATGATCACATTCTCTCTTCCCTGGAGCCTAGGCTGGGCTTCCATGTGCTGCTCAGGCTTCCTCGGGTCCCTGGCATGCCGAGGGGCTCTCCCAACGGCAGCACACCTCGGCTGCACACACTGGAGGCCGGCTGTGCTGGGTTTGACCTGTACTGAGTTGGCCTAGGCGGTGGGGAGCCTTCTGGCCAAGGAGAGCCCAAATGCTTCTTTTGGCAGGTTTTCCAGGGAGATAACTCGCACGTTTAAATGAGACACAGCGAGTGCTGTGGACTGTGGATGACCGAAGTGGACATGCCCCTGGACCATGAGACTCTGGGGCTCATGGTCTTCTGGAATCTTTTCTAAGGTGATCCTTTCCCTGGGTGGAAGTGAATGGGAACCCCTGAGAAGGGCGCTCGGGAACCCTGTGGCCAGTGAAGGCCCTGGAGCCCCCGAGTGCCTGGCACCTGGGCAGGGAGCCTGCGTGGAGGAGGAGCCGGGCTCGTAGTAGCAGCGGTGGCCTGTGCCAACAGTCTGCGCTTGTCCTGCTCTCTTCAGAGCGAGAGTGACCTGCATCCTTTTCCCCACAAAACCTAAAAACCAAGGAGGCCATCAGGGGAATTCTTTGATGTGCTGTGGATCTGGCTGGCGGAATCAGGCCTGACACACAGTCCCAACGCCCAGGGTCAGCCCAGCAGGGACACGGGGAAGGTGCAGATGCCAGATATCCGACCTCAGTTGCCCTGACGCATTGGCAGTGGGAGCCTTGTGAGCCAAACCCTGTTTCCAAGGTGGGGCAGGGGCACGTGGTGTCTTCAAGAAGTCCATGGAAAATGAAGACGTCAAGATTTTTTTTTTTAATCAAAAAGAACATTATCTTACAATTCCACTTAATTCCACTTTCCACAGACTTTTTGAAGTATCTTTGTATTTATAAACTCCCTGAAAAGCCATGAAATGTTTCCAGCTCACAGAGGCAGGTGCACAGGCAGGAGCATGGCTTCGGTCCCTGCAGCATCTCTAAGAGGCTGCTTTTGTGCTCCGACACGGAGAGGTCATGTAACAAGGCCACGTGGGCAGAGTGACCCAACAGACAGGTGTATAGTCCAGGGGCTGTGGACTGGGAGTGGACGGAGAGGAATTCCCGTGGACCTCAGCCCTGCCCCCTGTCCAGGAGAGGAGAATGGCAAGGAGGGCACAAGGAGGCACGGGCAGGAGGGGATCCTGGTTAGGAAAAAAAAAACCATGTAATGGAAGAGGAGGCAGGTGGTCCTGAAGGGAAGAAAAGCAGAGAGGTTATTTTAGAAAAGAATAGACCCAAAGGAAAGCACAGGGGATTCAGAGATCGGAGCCGCAGGCACCAGCTTCTAGGGGCGCTTGATGGGCTCAGCAGCCAGGAGGGGGGTGGTTGTGCTACTTCTGCTGGAACTGTCTCCCCTCTCCTGACCCCCGCTGGCCCTTTCTGGCAGGAGGTGTGGGAGCCGCAGGGTTCCCCAGCCCAGCCCTTGTGCAACCCCCCTGTCTGTGGTCTTGCCCATGGGAAGCGTGTTCCTGCCAGGCATGTTACTTAACTTTCCATCTCCCCTGTACCAGCACAAGGGGTGGCCCTGGGACTTCCCAGGCCGAGTGCAAGGCCAACTTCCGAGACGGAAAATGGTCTTTGGGATCTGCAGCCAGCTGTAGTGGCAAACAGGCCTGCTCTCCCGGGACCACCCTCGAGACTCCCAGTGAGGGTTAAGTCTGGGAATGAAACGTCGGAGTGTGGGGTGACAGCTGAGAGAGGCAGAATGTTCAGCCCATTCAACAAGGTGCTTCCTGTTGCTGCACAGGAAATGGGGTTAGTCCCTGCAAGCTGACAAGGGACTTGGGAGCAGCAGGAATGGGTTCTGTCCCACTTTAGAAATTGAAAAAAAAAAAAGTTTCAAGATATTCTAGCTTCTTTCTTTTTGAGAAGCAAGTCTAAATCCTGCAGGAGAGAGCTCCAGTGTGAAGTGGCTGTCATCACCACCAGGCTCCCTGCCCTGGTAGTGGGGCTGCGGGCAGCGGGTGAAGGGGGACCCGAGAGGGCGGGCTGCTTTCCCTGCGCGCCCTCTGGATCGCACGCCTAGCACCCTAACAGCTGCTTGGGGGGCTGTGTGGCCTGCTGCGGTGGGGGCCCAGGGATCGAATCCAACCTTCTTTTGGTCTCTGGTGACTGACAGAGGGTAAGCAAGGGGGCCCCAGCATCACCCTCGGCTAATGGGTTCTGCAGACAGGGGCCTTGGCCTTGGTGCTCTGACCACCCTCCTCTCCCAGGAGCCCACACGGAGTCTCCATGCTCGTCTGCCCTGCAGTGGGGAACCTTGACATGGGGAGACACTGGCTGCCCGCCCAACCTCTCCCACATGGGGTGTTTTGAGGCCACAGGCAGAGTACCTGGGTCTGGATGCGGTTCAGGCCTCGGAACCACAGGATCTGGCCTCGGCGCAGCTCCATCTCAGCGTGATCAATCTCATCCAGCCCCTCGGCATCCTTGCTGATCTCCTCCTTGGCTGTGCCGTGGCCAGCCTCCTTCAGGAACTTGAGGGACTGGGTGGGTATGGCTGAGATGATCTGAAGAAGGACAGGAAAAAACGTGACCCTCTCTAGTTGCAGGGCAGGCCCTCGGCATGGGGATGAGGGGGCCATGCTGTGCACCTGTATCCCCTGCCCGGTGGGAGAGAAGCAAGGAGGGAGCCCTGGCAGTCTGTAAGGAGGCTGCGGGCAGCCAGGCGCTCCACCGCCTTCTGTGCCACAGACAGTGGCAAGAACGTGCACGAGCGAGCACTTCACATCCATCCGTCTCAGCTAACACTTTCCCTGCTGCCGTGTGTCATTCAGGGCACAGAGAGCTGCAGTGGGAAGGGACAGGGATGGGGAGCCAGGGGACAACGGATCTGGGGAGAAGACAGCATGTGGTGTGCATCTGGGCAAGGCATGGAGGAAGGACTTGGGGGGGGGAAGGTCACATGATGCTACCTCGGGCATGGTGTGTGCAGGTGGTGGGACTCGCCATGTGGCAGGGGACATGTGAGTGCTATCGGAGGAACCTACAGCAGAAGCCTGGGCTGGTGTAAGCCATGCGGGGTAAGGGGTGCAGGACCTGGCGTCCCTCTTCCTTCACAAACAAGAGGACGAGGGGGCAGGGCCCACATGGGCACTCGGGTCTGGCTCTGTGTGTCTGGAAATGGGCAGGCTGCTGGAGCTGCTGGGTTACAGAAGGAGGGCTGCCATGCTTTGGCGAGGCCAGACCCACAGGGAGGAATACGAGTTAGGGAGCACTGAGCAATGTCAATTGTTCTGATAAACACACCGGCTTCGGAATACCCCTAGGACCATCAATTAAAAAAAAATCAGTGGGGCCAGCACTGTGGTGTAGCATGGCAGAGCTGCCACCTGCAATGCCAGCATCCCATATGGGCACTGGTTCATGTCCTGGCTGCTCTACTTCCCATCCAGCTCCCTGTTGATGCACCTGGGAAAGCAGCAGAAAACAGCCCAAGTGTTTGGCTTCTGCATCTGTGTGGGAGACCCGAGGAAACTCCTGGCTCCTGGCTTCAGGCTGGCCCAGCCCCAGCCACTACAGCTTTCTGGGAGGTGAATCAACAGGTGGAGGATCTCTCTCCATGTCACTGCTTCAGATAAATGCATAAGTCTTTAAAAAATTATTTTATTTATTTGAGAGACAGAAAAAGCCCTTTCATCTACTGGTTTATTCCCCAAATGCCTGCAACAGCTAGGGCCTGGCAGGGCTCAAGCCAGTGGGTTAGAACTCAATATGAGTCACCTGCTTTGGTGGCAAGAACGCAGGTACCTGGGCTGTCACCTGCGGCCTCCCAGGGTGTGCACAGGCAGGAAGCTGAAATGGAGAACAGGGCCTGCCTTGAACTGCCTTGAACACACGGAACTGGCTGCTACACCTGCCTGCCTCAGGCCTTTAGCTCTAGTCCCATGCCTGTCTCAGCTAAGCATGGTTGGAGAAGAGACCAGAAATTTCTGAAATGTTGGCCCTGATCCTATGAGAGGGAGGGACCTTGGGTGAGCACAGGGGAGCTGGGTGTCCCCGCAGCTGTACGTCCATCTCTTGTAGAGGAGCAACGTCTGAGGACTGTGCATGCGCACACATGGAGGCCATGCGGCAACTCACCTGGCCCCACAGAAGTTCTCCAATCCCGATGAAGAGACACCACAGCCACTGGGACAGGTTGAGCTTAGTGCAACTGAAGGGCTTGCCCCCAAACTCCACGATGAGAACCTAGAATGGAGACGGGGCAGCCTGCCGTCAGCAGGAGGTAAGCTGGCTCTCCAGCCCCGGTCATGGGAGCCATGTCACCTTCCAGCCCGCACAAGCGCACTGAGGAGGGCAGACAGGGCGACAGGTGTGATCCTCACAGGGCACCCGGACGGGGTGGCAGACGCAGTCCCTCGGCTTCTGACTCGTGAAAGGTCAGAGTTGAAGGGGAGTGGAGGTAGCCTGTGACGAAGGCCAGCAGGTGTCCAAGAGTAGGCATGGCAATGCAAGGGCTGGGCATGCACCAGTGCCAGTGCCAGCATGTGGTGAGCTTGCTGTCCCCTGCACCCTGGATGCTTTACTCTATCTGGGACTCAGGTAAGAAGGAAGGGGCCTGCCCCTTCACCCCAAGAATGACCCCAGTTCTTCCTGGAGGAGCCCAGGCTGCACTTGCTGTGTCCACCCCTGCCCCACAGTATTCCTCTTTCTTTGTGCCTCTACTGCGAGTGCAGGTGCCCGGTGCGCCCAGGAGGCATCCAGAGGGGCTAGAATACCTGGCCTTTCTCTTGGTGCCTGGGAAGTGTCTGTGTATTTAGGAAAGGACTCTGTAAGCCCTACTGTATTTCCATTCAACATGTGATCCTGCACTGGAGCCCTGGACACTCCAGGCTCCAATTTTAAAGCAAGGTGCCAAAGTGGAAGCAAATTTGGAACCCCCAGCCTGAGTCCCCGTAGCTCCTGAGTGTCTGGGGGATCCAGGCTCCCAGCTCAGCCACCTGACCCCAGCCCCTAGTGGGTCTCACCTGGCTGATGAATGTGCCCAGGACCACAGAGCAGAAGATGAGGTTGTGGTAGATGCCAGAAAACACGTTCCTCTCGCCGTGGATCTTGCGAGAGTTGATCTCGTTGAAAAGCTGCATCAGCACAAAGGTGTTGAAGACAATGGTGTAGTGCTGGCTGGGCGGCGAGTGCAGGGGCGCCTTCCGCCCGCTGTCGATGTCGAAGAACTTATCACCTGGGGTGGACGGGGAGAGGGTGGGCTGCGTTGGGGTACGCACGTCGGCACTGACTGTGCAGGCTACTCACGGGGGCTGTATTCAGTATCTGAGCTGGCTTGGTCACTGCACACAGATCTCTCAGCCCTGTCCTCAACTGCCTGCCTCGCCCGGCCCACTCTGCGCTGGCCTTTTGCCTCCACGACCTGCGGCTCAGGGGGAATGGTGGGGGACGGGTAAAGATGAAACTTATGAGTCAGGGAGACATAAGTTTACACTTTAGTGCCCTGAGCTGCAGTGTCCTCATCTATAAGGATGGTCCACACAGCCACCCCTGCGAAAGCCTTCAGAGGAGCTACATACAGCACAGCGAACCAGTGGTGGCCACACAGGAAGCACCCAGCAGGTGGCGCCACTCTCCCCTTCCGGCTCCTTCAGCCGGGGGCCAGCCCGCCCCTGCCCTGCGCTCACCAGCAAAGACCAGGAAGAAGATGACAGTGAGCTGGTAGACCGCGTGGCCCAGGATGTTCTTCATCATGGTCCGTGAGATCAGGGGCTTGTTCCGGCCGTAGGGGCGGCGCTTGAGCAGCGAGTCCGTGGGTGGCTCTGTGGCCAGGGCCAGCGAAGCGAATGTGTCCATGATCAGATTGACCCAGAGCATCTGCACAGCTTTCAGGGGCGAGTCCTGCATGGAGGAGGGGCAGCCCCTTCAGCTCTCCTCGGAAGTGAGCCCCCAACTCCCACCCACGCTGGATCAGACCCATGTCCACCTGGGTGACCCAGAGGGCAGTGACTTTGCCTCTTTATGCTGCAGGCTCGTCCTGTTAGTGGGGCCAATGACACCTGGCCGGCCTGGCTGTGCTGGAGGAGCGGGATGGGGCAGGCCTGTGTGGGTGCCCATGAACAGTGGCCGAGTGTCACATCAGTGCTAAGTGGGGGACAGCCTTTCTTCACACCAGCAGCCGGACGCCATGGTCCCCCAGGAGCTGACTCCTGCCCGCGGCACCCCGTTTTCCTGGACCCCTACCTCATTCCTGTCACCAGAGTCCACCCCCTACGCACTTCACCTGGGTGATGCAGGCTCCCGTGAAGGCCACGATCACGGCCACCACGTTGACCGTCAGCTGGAACTGCAGGAACTTGGAGATGCTGTCATACACATTGCGTCCCCACATCACGGCCTTGACGATGCTGGTGAAGTTGTCGTCGGTGAGGATGATGTCTGACGCCTCCTTTGCCACATCTGTGCCTGCGATCCCCTGGGAGGTGGGGAGGGAGGCGGCACAGTGAGGGACTGGGCAGGGGCAGGGCCTGCCCACTCACGGCCTTCTGTGGCGGGACTCCACTTCCTGATGGCCGAGCAATGGCAGGGCCGAGCATACACACCAGAGGGCGCTCTAGCCACGGAGAAGGACGTAGAGGAGCCCTTGGGTCAGGGTCACTCTGCAGAGGGCCGCCCCCAGACCGGGGGTCTGCTCATCCCAGGCCTGTTGCTAGCATACTGCACAAAAGAAAAACTGGTTCAAAGGACTTCTGGTATGCAGTCCTACAGACAAACAGAACCAGAAGACCAGCTACCTGGCTTAGTGAGTGTGTGGTGACGGTAACAGCTATTTTAAGACAATGCCGACAAGAATTATGTTAACGCCACGGGAACCAGTGTCCTCAGCTGATGACATACAAACACAAAGCTGGGGAGGTGACATAAAAGCAGCAAGGTGGAGGTGACAATCCTCTCCCCTCCGGCGGAACGGCGAAGTCGGGATCTAGAAATGTTCTGTTTTTTTTTTTTTTTTTTTTTTTAAGATTTATTTTATTTTTATTGGAAAGTCAGATAAACAGGAGGAGAGACAGAGAGGAAGATCTTCAATCCATTGATTCACTTCTCAAGTGACCGCAATAGCCAGAGCTGAGCTGATCCAAAGCCAGGAGCCAGGAACCTCCTCCAGGTTTCCCATGTGGGTGCAGGGCCCTAAGGGCTTTGGGCTGTCTTCGACTGCTTTCCCAGGCCACAAGCAGGGAGCTGGATGGGAAGTGGGGCCCTTGGGATTAGAATGGGGGTCCACAGGGGATCCTGGTGCGTGGAAGATGAGGACTTTTGCTTGAAATGATCTTTGAAATCAACAAGTACAAAAGGGAAGGGGAGCCGAGGAGGGTCCCTCCCAGTTCTGCCTGGGGGGGGGGGGACACTGCCTTCCCACAGCCACTTCCCGTTGGATAAACTGGGATTCCAGCTCTGGGGGTCAAGTACTCGTGTAGCATCCTGAGAACACCTTGCCAGGCGAGACCCTGGCACAGTGGCCGGAGCCACGAGCATGGGCACCACCAGGGCATGGCGACAGCCATAGGTCAGTCTGAGCACCAGGGTAGCAGTGAGCACCCAGACTGAAACAGCTCGGGAGCACTGAACCCCACGAGGCTGTCACGATGCCCACACGCCGATCCCAGCCAAGGGAACGCACTGCTCACCCTTGGAGCGCCCCGAAAGAGTCAACTCATGGTCTCAAAGGCAAGAGTGAAATATCCCACCTGCCTTTCACGTAGGACCTGAAGCACAGGGTCTGTTCTCTTTTCTGTAGAAGTCAATCAATCAAATCACAGTACTGACCTTTGGCAGCCCCTGCATGAGAGGAAGGATCTAGAATATGTTTGCTTCTCGAACTACTCGCTTAAAGGAAATACATGCTACAACAATATGACCCAGAAGAACCTCAGCGTGGGATGGTCTGTGCAGAAAACAACAGCGCTTTCAAATCTGGCTGGGGCTCACGCTGTGGCACAGCATGCTAAGCTGCCATTGCCACGGCTGCATGATATATGGATACTGGTTCAAATCCTGGCTGTTCCACTTCTGATCCAGCTCCTTGCTAATAAGCCTGGGAAAGCAGCGGAGGATGGCCCAGGTGCTGGGACCCTTGCACCCATGTGGAAGATCGGAGTGGAGTTCCAGGCTCCTGGCTGCTGTCTGGCCCCAACCCTGGCCATTTTTGGTTGTTTGGGGAGTGAGCCAGAAGATGGAAGATCTCGCTTCCCATCTCTCCTTGTCCTTCTCTATAATTCTGCCTTTCAAATAACTAAAGCTTAAAAAATGAAGAAACATTAAAAAAAATTCTCAAATAGCCAGGGAAGAAAGAGGCAAGGGGATTGTTTAGGAAAGAGTCACTGCTGGCTGTGACTGCTCTCCTGTGTTGGCAAGGCGGGCCCAGGGCTGGCACATGGGCACGTGGCTCTCGGAAGCAAGGGGTCCATGGTATGGAGTCGATGCCCAGAGTGAGTGGCTGACCTGCACACTCTCCTTCTGGAGCTGCAGTGCTGGCATGTGCCAGGCAGGAGGTGCCTAAGTGTCCAGTGCTGATAAAGCCCTGGGGCTGAGACCGGCTGCTCTGCTTCCAATCATCTCCTTGCTCATGGCCTAGGAAAGCAGTGGAGGATGGTCTTGGGGGCTGGGTCCCTACACCCATGGGGGAGACCTGGAGGGGGCTCCCGGCTTTGGATGGGCTCAGCTCTGGCTATTGTGGCTATTGAGAGGTGTGAGTGAATCCATCTTGCTGGACCCCAGTTTAGACAGATATGCTCGAAGGACAGCTGAGGAAATGAGAACGCTGACCAGGTACAGGATGAGAGTGAGGGTCCATCGATTATGCTGTGTCATCACTGCCTCATGTTTCTTTTAGATACATCTTATTGTACCTTATCGTCCAAAGATGTGGTCTAGAATTTTTATGGATAAAATGACACAGTGTCTTGCTTTTGCTTAAAAGCAGATCACCTGGGGGCTGATGTGGCGGTAGTGGGCTAGTCCTCCACCTGCAGCATTGGCATTCCCATTTGGGCACCAGTTTGTGTCCTAGGTACTCTATTTCCCATCGGCTCTCTGCTCATGGCCTGGGAAAGCAGCAAAGGATGACCTAAGTCCTGGGGCTCCTGCACATGTGTGGGAGAGTCACAGGAGGGTTCTGACCTCTGGCTTTGGACTGGCCTAGCTCTAGTTGCTGCAGCCATTTGGGGAGTGAACCAGCAGATGGAAGAGCTGTCTCTCCTCAGAAAATCTGCCTTTCCAACAAAAATAAATAAATCCTTCAAACAACAACAAATCCGCTGGGAGCAGGCGGTCAGCCCAGTTGTTGAGATTGTCACGCCCTACGTTAGAGTCCTTGCGTCCACTTCTGGGCTCCGGCTAGCAATTCTGGCTTCCAGCCTGAGTGGATCCCAGAAGGCAGTGGTGACAGCTCGAGAACCTGGCTGCTTGCCACCTGCATGGGGGACATGACTGAGTTCCCAGCTGTCAGCTTTGGTTCTAGGCTGGCCCTGGGTGTTACAGACATCTGAGGGGTGGCCAGAAGGTTGGCCTGCTCGCTTGCTCTCTGCATCTCTGTGCCTCTATAAATGAAAGAAACTCAGGTGGGGATAGTGGAAATGGGTGGGCGGAAGCTGAGACAAGACTGGCAAGGGACAGATACACAGGGACTTTACACATGACTCTACCATTTTACATCTGGCCATTCCTGGAGAACTTGGCCTTTTGTTCTGTAACAAGAGTTCCTTAAAGCTGCCTGACTTTCTGAATATCTGCCCACTGCTTTGATGTGGTCAGCCATGTGAGCTAGTGGGGACACATGGCTTTGCCAGCCCACCCTGTGGCCTGGGCCCTTTCTCTGGCTTGTCCAGGCAGACAGCAGCACCAAGTTCATGGGCTCCCCGTGGTTGTCCTGCCTCTATCAGCAACCTTTCATTCCTGGCAGATCTCTCATTATGTACTTCATCAGTGGCTACGCAGAGAAGGGTTGGGGCTGGAGGAAGGAGCCCACTGTGGCAGGTGCAGGCACAGGAAGCAGCAGGTACACTGTCATTGGGTGGGGATACAGCACTGAGCTTACCATGGCAAAACCAACATCTGCTTTCTTGAGGGCGGGCCCGTCGTTCGTGCCATCACCAGTGACAGCCACCACTTGCCGCTGGTCCCCCACCGTACTGTCAATGATGCCTGGGAAACACAGACACACCCCACTGTGAGCACGTGGCTGCCTGTCATGTTAGCCTAGAGCGTGTCTTTCCTCGCCATCCTAGCCCCCTGTCCCCGTCATCCCTTATCCCTCCTCTTCTGTTCCATGATGAAGACAACACAGGAAGGACTTGGGAACAGAGAGACCTGGCTTGGGTCGCTTCCCGCCCCTTGCTCCATTCACATACCAGGAGTGTCTGCCTGCCCGGCTCGTGTCCGAGATCTCAGCACACTTCCAAGAGCCAACAGCCGCCCAGGGCTCAGCTGCTCGCTCCACAGCATGGCATGCTCTCCCTGGTGGCCCAGGGGTTCTCAGCACAGGATGGCTGCTCTGGCCAATGCCCCTGCCTGCCCATGGCCTGGCCCCGACTCACCTTTCACTAGCGTGTGCTTGTCCGTGGGTGAGGACCGTGCTAGCACCCGAAGCTTAGGCCAGATCTTGTCCAGCTTCTCTTGCTCCACCTGCCAACACCAGACCCACGGGGCTCAAACACGTGACAGTAAAGTTCTGAGACCTAGATCCTTCCTGCCCCTGGGGACAGCTGTCGTGGTCCCCAAGTGGTGAGCGGGAGAAGCCAGCTCCATGTCCAAGGGTAGAGTGGCCTACAGCAGCCACAGACCCTGCTCTCCTCTCTTTCCCCCAGTCCCTCTTTGGGGCTGGGACTGGCTGCTCGCTCCAGGTGTTTTGGAGGTTATGTTTGATTTCTGCGTAGACCAGAAAGCTTTGGCCTACTCTACATCCAGACTACGGCCACTCATAGCCCAAGCCACTGAGCCCTGGGCCAGGGACACGGGAGAGGCCACTTAAGAAGCCAACAGACACACAATGAGCTAGTGAGTGACTGATGACAGCAGGAAGGAAGACATCCACCTGTTTCGCTGGTTGACTGGCTCTGGGAGGCAGCAGTGTCTGACTATAAACCGCAGATGAGGGCTTAGAAACTGCCCATTCTCCCAGATGCTTTAGTGGCCCGCAGCCCTGCCCATGGCTTGGAAGCTCCTCTGTGAGGACCTGGTTTCTCCCCACACCCCACCCTTGGGACCCACCTCGCCCTTTTCATTGCGGATGAGTCGGTTGAATTCTTTGCCTTCCAAGCACAGGAAATCATCTCCAGGTGTCAGGATGCCACACTTGGTGGCAATGGCTCGGGCTGTGTTGACATTGTCCCCGGTCACCATTCTGACGGTGATGCCAGCTCGTTTGCATTTGGCGATAGCTTCTGGGACCTAGGGTGAGAGAAGACAGGAAAGGTGGAGATGTGGGTGGTGGCCCCTGGTGAGCCATCCCTCTGTGGGAGACAGGAGGGAGGCTCCCCCGACAAGCACTGGCCTGGGGCATGGACTATGTCTGGTAACTTTAACGTAGAGTGCCACCTCACTGCCTTCCACCCTGGGCAGGTGCACTGGGATGTTCCCTGATGTGCCACAAGGGTTAGGGGATGTTTGCCTGAGGAACAGGGGTATAAGCTGGTCCTTCCATTTATAACCCAGGTGGCATCTAAAGACACCTTTCTAACACACTTTTGTCCCACTCTGTGCCGCACTCCCAGGCTCAACCCTCTGCACCCGCGGACATTGCCAGGGGCCACCCTCGTATTCTCGCCCTTCCCCTCAAGCCAAAGTGTCACCTCTGGGCGCACGGGGTCCTCGATGCCCACGACGGCAATGCAGGTGAGCTCGGTGAGGATTTCGCTCTCATTGTCCCACGAGGGCTCGGCGTCATCGAAGTCCCGGTAAGCGATGCAGATCGTGCGCAGCCCCTCGCAGGCCATGGGCTCGATGATGGTGCGCACCATGTCATCCCGGTCCTTGTTCTTGAATGGCATGGCCTCCCCTTTCTTGTCCAGGATTCGGTTGCACCTGGCGGGCGGGAGGGGGAGGGCTCAGAGCAAGCAGTGGTCCCCCTTCGTTTCTACTCAAGGTTGCCATGAGCCTTCACGGGCGTTCTGGCCCCTCAGTATTGAAGACACTGTTTCATGGCCATGGAGCCCTTCCAGTCACAGCTCCGCCGAGCCCCTCTTTCTGAGGTGGGGAGTGTGTGCACGGGGCGGGAATTAGGGCAGCCGAGTGTGGGGTTCTACCACATTATCCTTTCCTGCCTGGATGGGGAGCGCACTTACAAGTCACCAGAGACTCACCTGCTCTTTCAGACTTTTATTTTTTTAAATTATTGATCTTTTTTATTTGAAAGGCAGATTTCTTTCTTTTTTTCTTTTTCTTTTTTTAAACAGAAAGGCACACACAGAGAGAGATCTTCCATCCTCTGATTCACTCCCCAATTAGTTGCAATGGGGATCTGATCTGAAGCCAGGAGCCAGGAGCTTCCTGCAGGTCTTGCATGTGGGTACAGGGCCCAAGGCCTTGAGTCATCTTCTGCTGCCCTCCCAGGTCATAAGCAGGGAGCTGGATCAGAAGTGGAGCAGCTGGAGGATCAGCCTGTTATACCACCACGCTGATCCCTCTTTCAACCTTTGAAGGCCAGGCTTATTCAGTTCCCTGTATCGTAAGGCTATTCAGTGCTTAGGGGCTGCCACCCAAGAAATGTACGCAGAAGGCAGGTGACTGAGGTCCAGCCTGGGCACTGGGCAATTCTGACCACCCAGGACCCTAAGCTAGGAAGGTCAGCTTCCCGCAACCTGTACGGGACCTAGCCCTAGTCACTTTCTAAGATATATGCCTTTCTTCTAGAGTTGAGAGTGGGGCAGACACACACTTCCAACCCATGCTGTGTGCATGGTGCTTCCTCCACGGAATCATTTCCCCACTGTGCTGCTTGGCTGTTGTCTCCTTGAGCGGTCCCAGACCTGTCCCCTCACCCACATATGGGAGGATAACCAGTCCCCATCGCACGGTCATGACCATCAAAGGACACAGGCCACCCCAAGCAATGAGTATTGGGGACTGGTCCCACAGGCAGAGCCTCCGGAGGAGGTGGGGCGCAGCGCGGAGTGGGGAGGAGGTGGGGCGCAGCGCGGAGTGGGGAGGAGGTGGGCTGAGGGGCGCGTGCTCACTTGCGCAGCATGATCTCGGAGGCGCCCTTGCTGTACATGCGGAAGCCGCCGCTGGGCTTGCGGATGATGGTGCTCATGGACTTGCGCACGGAGTTGAAGGTGTACACCTTGAACAGCTTCTCCTCGGGCACCTCGTTGCGCACCGCCTGGTAGTCCTGCTTCAGATCAGTGACAAAACCCAGCAGGGCACACTCGGTCTTGTTGCCCACCTGCCGTGGCAGGCCTCCCTCCTTCTCTGGAGGCTGAAGGAGAGAACACACGAGGGGGGACCATGGAGGATGCCCCAGCTACTGCCAGGCAGGGGATGGAGGCAGCGAGGACCTCTTTGCAAAAAAAAAAAAAAAAATTAAAGATTAACTTATGTATTTGAAATTAAGTCAGAGGGAGGGAGAGAGACAGTGTGTGTGAGAGAGAAAGAGAGATTCTCTATCTGCTGGCTCACTCCGACAGTGTTGGGCCAGGCGAAAGCCAGGAACCAGGAACCATCTTCTAACTCGTCACCCAGGTGCATCAGCAGGGAGCTGGATCAGAAGAGGGGCAGCTGGGACTCAAACCAGTGCCCCTACGCTGGTGTTGTAGGTGACAGCTTTACCCGCTATGCCAGTTTCATGCCTGGGACCCTAGATTTTTATAGAACCTCAGCCCCAGTGCTCCAGTTACTACTCCTGAGGAAAGCTCCCCAGTCTTTGTTCTGCTGAGAAATGGGGCCTGGGATAGCGCCCAGGGAGCAGTGAGCCACTGTCCCCGAGAACATGAACGTTCCCCTCCAGCCTCCGCGTGGAGGAAGTGCTCAGACAGAAGAAGAACTTACCAGAATCTTGGACGTATAAGCACTGTTGATGGAAATGCCATTGACAATGAGGTCCAGGACCTTGGGCACGAAGACGTCGGGGCCCGGGACCTGGTGGTAATGGGTGCCCCCAACATACACCTGTACCACAGTCATACGGTTCATGGTCAGAGTGCCCGTCTTATCAGAGCAAATGGCCGTGGCGTTGCCCATGGTCTCACAGGCGTCCAGGTGCCGCACAAGGTTGTTGTCTTTCATCATTTTCTACAACAGAGAAGACGCTTGAGAAGAAACCCATGGGGATCTCCTAGGCAGACTACAAAGGGCACGCCCCAGCCAGCAGGCTGCCCGGTTTTGGAAGACCTTGCTGGGTTACAATCATTCCAGGGTGCCAGGGAAGGCCAGAGGCCAGTCTGCAGGAGACAGAGTGGCCCATCCTGCACTCAAAGACTCATGCTGCCCCCCGCCCCCATCCATGTCCTGGGGAGGCCAGAGGCTCAGTCCGCCTCCCTCACCTTCACCGAATAGGCCAGGGAGATGGTGACGGCCAGCGGCAGCCCCTCGGGCACGGCAACCACCAGCACTGTGACGCCGATGATGAAGAACTTGACAAAGTACTGGATGTAGACAGGGGTACACTCAGCTAGCCACGGTCTCCCCTGGATCACGAAGTTGTCAATCACAAAGTACAGGATCAGGATGACAACGGTGATGGCAGACATGATAAGACCTGGCCAGGGAGAGGAGCTGTGTGAAGCGGGCTTGAGGGCATTCTGGGGGTGTCGGTAACAGCTGGGGTCTTGGGTGCTGACAGCTTAAGTGGCCATTTCATGCGCCTTGTGGTGTGAGGAAAAGGACACAGGCCATGGTTCCAGCACTTGGCTGGCTGGCCGGCCACATTCCTCACTCACATAGCAGGATTGGCCTGCCTTCTGGACCAGCTTCCAAGAGCATCATTCTACCTCCAGACCCTCCCTGCCTCCTGGATTCACGACGTACTCCGCACCAATTCTGGCTACTCCCTGGTCATCCAGTTGGTTTCCTCTGTGCTGGGAGGGAGATGCTACGGATCCTGTGGCTGCTGGACCACTACAGCACGCATACAGAAAGCCTCCGTGGGGCCAGCACTTCCCCCGCGTGGCCACCCTCACCTCCTCCCCCAACCTCTGCAACCAGTGCTTTTGATGTGCTCTGTCATGGCACACATACACAGGCAGGCACTCTATGGTGCCAGCCCTGGGCCAGATGGCTGTGGTTATCCCCTTTTTGTCTGTTTAAAGATTTAACTGATTTGAAAGGGTGAGGTATGGGGAGGTGAAAGAGAGAAAGAACGCTGAATGTCCATCTGCTGGTTCACTTTCTAAATGGCCACAGCAGCCAGCGTTGGGTCAGGCTGAAGCCAGGAGCCAGGAGCTTCATCCGGGTCTCCTTATCATGCCCTTTTTAAAGATGAATCAACCAAGCCTGAGAGGTCTGTGGTAGGACAGGCTGGTGGGGACAACACCAGGGCACACTTGGACTTGTCTGGGGCCGACAGTTGGAAACGCTCTGCTGCACCTGGAGGTGCTTCTGGTCTCCGCAAGGCTCAGGGCACTGGGTCCACTCAGGCACATCCCTCTGCCGGGGAGTGAATGGGGCTGATGGTGGGCACGCAGGCCATTGAGGCTGCCAAGTCTAAGGAGGCATTCGCTCTCTGGGCTGTTGGGAAGGAACACTGTACTTCTGCCCACTCTGACACGGGAGTGAGGGCTCCATGACATAAACAGCAGAACGATGGGGGACGAGGTGGAGCCGTGGGCCAGGCCTAGAGTTCATGTCCACATGAGAGGCCACGGGCATTGGAATCAGATGGGCACCAGAACATAATGGACGAGGCCCATGCAGCCTGGCAGAGCTTCCTGTGAGACTTACCAGGACTTGTATTCATGCCACCCAGCCTGGTAGCCACTGGCCACATGTGGTTACTGGCCAGCTGAAGTGTAGCTTAATCTGACCAAGGAACCGAACTTCCAATCTTTTTGATTTTAGTTCATCTGGATGGATGAACTGTATGTGGTTTAGTGGCTGCTTTGGCCTGTGGTGTGGCTGGAACAGGGCTTGGCTCCCAGATGTGTGCTAAGATTTGGATGTGAAAATCTCACATTACCAGCAGGGTGATGATGATGGTGTGATGGGTTAAGGTGGAGGCTGGGTGTGACCCTGGCAGCCAGGGGGTGGGCCTGGTGGGGTTGTGTCTTCCCTGGCTTTGTCCTGGGGAGGAAGGTGGTTCCCTGCAAGGGTTGGTTGTTTCCAGCTGCCCCCTCTGTTTCCTGGCTTCCCCCGTTTTCTCTGTGCTATGGCCAGCTCCGCCAACTGCCTGATGTTCCACTGTGAACCTCCTAACGGCATGTGCAGCCAGCCTTTTCCTGCTCCTGGGGATGGTAGAGTCCAATGCCACAAGGCTGACGAGGACATGTGCTCAGTGAGTTGGCATCACCTGGGTCAGGGAGACCTGGCAGAAGTGCTGATTCCCAGGCCCCACCAGCTGCGCTGACCTGAGCCCGTGGGACCAGAACACACACAGCAATGCTGGCTGTGAGTGTGGCACACAGAAGGGTGGGGTCAAGAAATGAATTGCTTTGCCTCCCCCAACTGTTGCTGAAGGAAGCGGGGCACAGAAAAGCCTGGGTTACTGATGGAGGAGCCCCTTGCTTATGCCACATGCTGCCACCATGTGAGGGACCACCCTCTGCCAACGGGACAGAGGCCAGCACTGAGATGGATGAGTAGGTGCCAAGCTCCCCAAGGGTGGGATGCAAACTTGATCTCCCTGTGCCTAGAGCAAAGACCCTGTGCCGCAGAGCCTGATGCACAGAGGGACAGTTCTGAGAGAACCTATGGGGTATCAGGGTCAGGGTCTCAGCCAGTGGGACCCCGCGAGGCCCTTGGGAATTTCAGCATCCCTCTCGCTGATCCTGGTGGGTGTAGCAAGAAAGGGATGGCAGTGCCAAGAACCCGGAGTGGCAGGGCTGGGCGGCGGCAGGTGGTGGCAGATGCGCGCTCACCTGCTTTCCCGATCTGGACGGCCAGGCGCGTCAGCTTGCCCTGCAACACCGACTTCTCCTTCTTGTGCACCTTGGCAGCCTTCTTGTCCTTGTCCTCGTTGTCGGCTCCCTCCTGGCTGTTGAGTGGCTGGATTTCCAGGGCCACACCATCCTGGGTCTTTGCTGGTGGGATCCAAATAGGACATGTGAGTGGAAGGGAGGGGACAGCACTAAGCGGGAGCGAGGCAAGTGGGGGACAGGCAGAGACCCGGTTGCCTGCTTGGAGAACATGCCAGCACCTGTGACCACGCCTCACCTTGCTGGCCACAGAGCTGGCCTTCACCCCCTCTATGAGGGCCCATGGGGTGACTGACTTGGGGGATGACACAGAGGGTGACGGCTCCCCGGAGCGCCATGCAAGGTTTATCTCAGGCAGGGCATTAATCCCGGCCCTGTGAACGCCAGTGCCAGTAGTCAGCCCGCCTGGCATGCAGGGTTTATGTTGGTAACTGCTGACAGCAGGCTGAGGGGAGGTGGGGGTACAGGCATCTAGGATCCCAGGGGTCCTTGCATGCTTTGTGCAAAGGTCTAGAAACCGATTATTTGCCAGCTCCTTCCTGCATGAATTGAAAGGTCAGGGGAGGACAGCCCCTACTTCCCCTGAGTGACAAAGGGAATGGGGCCAGGTGGAGCCAACTTGGCAGTGGGGGGACGGCACTTGGGGGACAGGAAAGATGCTGGGGTTCAGGGAAGAACAGGAAGCTGGGATCATGGCAGACACAGAACTGAATGCACTTGGCTTTGGAGTAGACAGGTTAAGGAGAACCAGAAGTAAATGACTGGTGTTTGGCCCGGGGTCCCTGCTGCAGCGCCTTCACTTCTAAACACCACCATGACGCAGGGCACAGAGGGAAGCCAACCCTCTGGGTGCTAAGGAGATCACACCTCGGCCTCCCACCTGAGGCAATCCCTTTCTGAGACGCTGACTGCACTGTCAGACACACAGACACCACGGACATACCCAAGATGCAAGTAAAGCTAGTGCGCATGCGAGAGAGACACACATGGGACCAGGAGGAAGGGACAAAGCGGAGGGAGGGAGAGCAAGGTGGCAGCAGGCCTGAGACCAGCAGACCAGACACCGATGAGGAAGCTAACTAGAGGAGGGTGCAGGGACCGCCCGCTCCAACTGCCCCCAAAGTCTCCCCAGATCCAGCAGAGGGCGTTGAAGCAAAGAGCTGTGCGCCTTGAGAAAAGGCAGATACACTCCACAGCCAACCTGGACGTGAGGTTCCAGGAACCTACAACAGAGGGTGCTGTGGCCCCAGCTCAGATTGCAACTATGGCCAGCTCAGTCACTGCACCTTCCTCCAGATGAGGCAGCAAAGGTAACAGATTTATGGAGAGGGGAAGGGAGAAGGCGGATGGCCCGAGGGTTGGGGGTGTTATTTGAGTGTGGGCAGGCAGAGATGGCAAGTGAGTGCGAGCAGAGGTTACCTTTGTTGCGATTTTCAGGGACTCCTTGTTTTTTGCCTGTTTAAAATGAGAAAGAGAAAAGTGGAGTGGAAACCCAGAGGGACTGTCGGGAGATCCCAGGTCCAGCGGCTTGGTCCAGCTGCTTGGTCCTGCTCAGAGCCCAGGAGGGCGGAAGCTCACATCTGGGCTTCCATTCACTCATTCCGGAGGCGGCAGTGGCATGTGGGTACGTAGGCCAACACTGGCATATCTTGCTGCCTGCTCTGAGAGCAAGGTTGTTGCTGGGGTGTGAGTGTGTGTGTGAGTGTGTGAGTGTGTGTGTGTGTGAGTGTGTGTGTGTGTGTGTGTGTGTGTGTGTGTGTATGTGCGTGCTCATGCTTCAGACCCAAGTGACACTGCTTGGAAAAATGGGGGGTGGGGTGGGAGGGTGTAAGGAAGAGGGGGATGGGCCGTGTGCACAGAAGGTGATGGCCTGGAGTGGGGTGACGTGAGCCCCCATCAGCACAGTACCACCAGGCTAGCTTCCTCCTTATCTACATAGGTGGATGTGGGATAAACCAAAAACAGTGATGAGAACAAGCAACTCAGGGATGGTCCTCCAAGCTGCTAGGGGGCAGAAACCCTCCTCTGCCACCTGGGAAACCTGTTCTGCCTTCTGCGATTCACAAGGACTCACGGCACAGGCTGGCCTGAGCTCAGGGAGCCTGCGCCGCTCTCCTGGCTGTCTCAGTCCCATTGACTGCCCTTGTGCTGTAGGAATCCACTGGGCCGTGTTGCCAACAAGCCTCAAAGGCCCTCGAACCTTGGAGGGAGCAACGCAAGGCAGGAAGAGGAGGAGGATGGCGGGAGCTCTGGCTGGAGGCCTTGGCAGGCTGGTCTGCGGGGCAGGCTTTAGAACTTGTCCCCTGCTGATCCACCAGAGACACGGCATGTCTGGGGGCTCTTCCCACTCCACTTCTCTCCAGACAGCCCCCTCGTCTCCGAGTCGCAGGAAAGGGACTCTTGTTCCAAGCCCCTGGACTCCTCTTACCTTTCTTCTTCTTTTCCTCCTCATCATCCTCATTGGCCCCCAGCAGGGTGAAAATAATTCCAGTCTGGGAGTTGACACCCACAGCAGTCACTACCATCCGGCCAGAACCTTCCATGACGTGGGTACCTACATGGAGAGGAAGCTGGTTTTGCACAAACACCCCCCTGTATTAGGGGCGCCCGATGCAGTGCCTAGCAGGTAGTAGGAACAAGTGGGGAGCAGAGCCCATTTAACAAACAGACCACGTGGAGGAGGAGGGGTAAGGAGAACAAGTCATGGCCTCAGGGCAACCTTCCCCTCATCCCACCGTCCCTGCAACCAGCTGAGCCCCTCCCAGACCCCCCTATAACATGTGCTTCCCAAGGAAGGGTGAGGGACAAAGTGAGAAGGGTAGCAGGGTTTGGGGCAGTAGAGGCCAGCTGCACCTGACAGCAGCATGGGGTCTTTCTCCAGGGACTTCTTGACGTGCTCCGATTCTCCCGTCAGGGAGCTCTCGTCAATCTTCAGGTCGTTGCCCTGGATCAGGATCCCGTCTGCTGGCAGCAGGTCACCTGGTGCACACAGGGGAGCATGAAGGAAGCGAGGGACAGGGCACGAGGAGCGGGGACCCTCTTTTGCTTCAACTCCATCTCAGGGCTATTCCCATGGGATGTGACAGAGGCCAAGAACCGGGCAGCCTCCATGGGGGGAGGACAGCTTTCAAAGAGAACTCTGGCCTCTGTGCAAAGGAGGACGAGGTTCCTCTCCAGGTAAAAGAAATCAAAGCCTTCCCTATGCCAGAATATCACACAGGCCCTGGTAACCCTAAAATACCAGGGTGCCAGCCCCTGGCTAGGTTTCAGCCATGACATTCCTAGAAAGCCCTCCCCATCGCCTCCCTAACTCTGAGCCCAGAAGCCAGCACACCTTTGGGCGTGGCTGGGGGTGGGGTGGTGTCTCTTTCTGGGCTCTCAGCCACTCTCAGCCCCCTTCTGCCAGAGGACCTGCCTGCGGAGTGTGAAGGCGGAGGTGGTCCAGGCCCCCGGAAGCCCAGCACCCTTACCATATTTGATTTGAGCGATGTCGCCCACTACAATCTCAGCCACCGGCAGCTGGATGAGCTGGCCATTTCGGATGACGGAGAACTTCTGCTCCTGTTCGATGCGGCTCTGGAGCCCTCGGAACTGCTTCTCCTTACTCCAGTCATTGAAAGCCGTCACCAACACCACGATGATCACCGAGAAGAGGATGGCCGCCCCCTCGATCCAGCCAGCTTCCGCCTCCCCTTCATCATCTGCGCTGTGTGTGGCCTGACCACACACTGTGCCAGGGGTGGGGGAGGGAGAGGGCGGGGTCAGCAAGGGGCTCTGGCTGACATGAAGGACAGCAGGTGCTCTCCCACTGCCCCAGCCCCCACGGCACAACGCCACGTGGAGCCCTTGGGTGGAGCAGCCGGCCTCTCGGAACAGTGGGATGGAGGTTGTCTTAGCACCAGGGTAACAACCTATGCAAGATGTCAGTCCAAACAGCAGCCAAGTCACATAGGGATGACTAACATGCTCAGGCCCCACGGCTGCTGCCCGGGAAGCCAGGTTGTCAGCAGCAGGGTTGTGCAGGCTAGCTGAGCAGGATTTGGGACATACTGAGTGGAGACTTGCTGGGGGCTGGGGAGAGAGGGGAGCGGGTCAAAGCAGCAGCTTCCTGCCCGCTAGTAGGGTCCCTCTGCTGCCCTCCCCCTGAACTCTGGGCTTGAGCTTTAAGCTGTGACCTGTCACCCACCAACAGCAGGCGTTCCCTGGAGGTGGGAAAGCACAAGCGGGGCACACGCACGTGCACTGGGCTGCTAACACTCACGCTCGTTCTCTCCCCCCGGCGGCCGGTAGAAGGACAGGACCAGGGAGATGATGGCGGCGATCTCCAGGATGATGAGGGTGACGTCTTGGAGGGCTTCCCACACTAACTCTAAGAAGGTCTTGGGCTTTTTCGGGGGGATCAGGTTCTGCCCGAACACCTGCCTGCGCTTCTCCAGATCCGCGGGGTTCCCAGAGAGACCTGCCCAAAGGAGGGGGTGCGGAGGCATGAGGGAAGGGAGACAGAGGAAGGAGGAAGAAGGTGGCTCAGAGAACCCTTCCAGTAAGATGCCTCATTTCCTGTCTTCCTCAGCTATGGGGTCCAGTGAGCGTCACCAACCTTCGCAGTGGGCCCAGCACTGGCGGGTCTAGAACTTTCCAGCTAATGACAGAGATGGGGCAACTTAATGCTCTGGTAACCCAGATGAGCCAAGCCATACTGCTTTAGATGTGGAGCTGTTTCCACCTGCTGCCTCCGCATGAAGGCCATTTGCCCAAAGTCATGCTTTGTGAAGTCACAGCCCACCAGGGCCTCGAGGGGATCACTCACTGGGGCTGAGACTCGTGCTCCACCCCTCGGTCAGCACTGAGCTGGTGCACAGGTAGAGCTGCCCGGCAGGGGCATCAGGAAGGCTTCAGATGCCATACAGGCACAGTGGCCCAGATGGGCACAGGGACACACCTGGGCTAACACATACCATACATCACACACACACACACACAAAGCATACAACACATCACACACATCATGTAAAACTCACAGACACACCTCACACACCACTGTGTATCTCATTCTATAATACCCACCTGGTATATACACACCATATACATGCTACACAATATACCACATACAGTACACACTGTACCACAAACGTACCATACATGGTGTATTACACATGACATACACACAACATATACCATGAACATATCACATATCACACACAACTCACATGGCCCATAGGTGCACATCACATACTACTCCATAGCTCACAATCCTCACCCAGTATACAACACACCACACACAGTTACAACCCGTGACATAGGATACAACACACCACACGGTGTACAACATACCACAGGATACAACACACCACACACGGTGTACAACCTGTGCTACAGGATACAACATACCACAGGATACAATACACCACACGGTGTTCAACCTGCGACACAGGATACAACATACACACACGGTGTACAACCTGATACAGGACACACCACACCACCCATGGTGTACACATCATAACACACATATAGCCTATGATCCCCCTCCCACCTGTCGCTAGCACATCACAGGTAGGGTTGTTCAAGGCTTCCCTCAGCCTGGAGCCCCTCTCCTGGCCCTGTGAGGGAAGGGGAAGGCCCAGAGTGCCCATTAGCGCCAGTTGGCATCCATCAGGCTGTTTACACAGGGCAGCAAATTAGTCCTGGTTTGGCACCAGCTGCTCTTGGCTGCCTGGTGGATGAGCTCCCCACAGGCAGGGCGGGGTTGCCTCTAGTGGAATACAGGTTAATGGCCATGCGGAATTGGAGTTTCGGAAGGGGCGCTCGGCCGACCTCCATAAAGGCAGTGGAGCCCAGGGTGACCAGGGAGGCCCGCATGGAGGTGGCATGTTGTGTGGAGGGGGTGGGAAGTGTTACCTCCCCCTCCACCAGGCAGAACCACGCTGCAGCCTCAAAGGGCAAGAACATGGGCTACGCCCAGGCCAGAACCACATTTTAACAAAGCAGGAACTCTCAGGAATACTGCTTGTAGTGGTGCTGGGAAGGCAGCCACTGGTGGGGATGCCTACCGTGGGGAGACCACTTCCACTGGTTAGTGCTCCGGAGGGAGAACAGGGCTCTGGGGACAGGTGGCCCTCTCGCTGGCCAGCTGAGCGGCCCAGCCGCGCTCTGCAGGGAGCGAGTTTGGCCAGGGCACTGGAGGCCAGCTGAGCTGCTTCCCAGGCACTGGCCGCCTCCACCACCGGAGAAGCCAGGTTCCCAGCAAACAGGGAGAGCGAGGGCCTGGGAACGGAGTGCTGGGGCAGGGCAGCTGGATTGGCGGGCAGGCAGGGGCAGGCAGTGCAGCCTGAGGCCAGGGCCCAGCCGCCTCCTTCTCCCTGGGGACTGGGGCTGGCAAAGCCATGCCAATGGGGCAGCTTTGCCCAGAGGGTAGGCAGTGCTCATGGTCATGCATAGGCCTACCTGAGGTGCCTCCCGAAGAGGCAGGCTCTGGGGTCCTGTCCTTCTTTCACAAGGGTTCATGGATGAGAGCCAGTGGGGACAGTATAGGGTGTGTCCGCATGGCTAAGGAAGCCCTGTCCCTCAAGGCATTTATCTAACACCCCATTTAGGGTACACAGACTCCAGTGTGTGTCTCATTCTGTTCTCCTGTGCTCGCCCTCTCCCCATCCACCTCTCTCCTGGGTCCACTGAGTCAGGGAGTCCCACCAGCTCTATCTTCAGATGCATCCAAAGACCAGTTCCTCTCTGTCCCATGGCCACAGCCATCGTCCTGGCCTAGGCCACCATCAGCTCTTGCTACCAATGACCCACTTCTCCCCGTCTCCTGCCGCCAGCGCTCCCACTCTCAGCCCTTTGGCCAGGGGAGCCTTCCTAAGACCTGAGGCAGGACAAGCTGCGTATCTGCCCAGAGCCCTGTAGTGGCACCAGCGACCTTGGGGTGCCCCTTGCGAGCCCCCAAGCCCTCAGCCCTGCCTGCTCACTGCTCTTCGGCCCAGCTTGTCTACCTGCTATTCTCAGTCCCTCTGTACACCCCGTCTCCCTCCTGTTCCATGGGTCTCTGGGCCAGTGTGTCTGTCCTTCATGGTTCACCTGACTTATCCACAGTCTTAGCCCAGAAGGTTGGCCCCATTGGGCTTGGCCGTCAACCTCCACAAGTCTTGTCTTCCACAGAGGACATGATGCAGCCCACCAAAGGTCTGTCCAGTCCCTCCGGAGCCAGTTTTTTGTCTGGGTCCCTCATGTCTAGAGCAGCACCCTGACCCCTTTGTGTACATGCAGACTCAATAGATGATCAGAAGGAGGGAGGAGTAAAAAAACAATTGCTAGCACAGACCAGGAGACCTGATGCCGCATGCTTCACCAGGCACGCCTGTGCCTTCCAATTCAAGCTTCGCAAGTGCTAAGCCCATTTTACAGGGAAGCAAACCAAGATGTGGTGAGGTTGTCTGAGATCCTGGGCCAGTGAGTGGCAGTGTTGTACCCTAAAGAGGCGGCTGGGTGCCTGTGGCAGGCAGCTGCACTGGGTTGAGGCTTTGGGCTTGGAATCAGTCTGCCCCAGCCTGTCCCACCCTTTGGCAGTGAGGTTCCTGTCCGCAGCCTGCTCCACTTCTTGCTCAGCGGGAAGGGCTGTATGCTCTCGCTGGCTATATCTGAGGACAGCTGATCCAGTCTTCCTGTCTCAGGGGGTGGGGACATCAATTCGGTTGGAAGCAAAGTACGACACCTAAGACCTGAGGCCCGGCTCTGTCCTCCATGTCCGCCAAGTCACACACCTGTTCCCTTTGGCTGTTTTCTACTCATCTCTCTGCTCCACCTTAAGCTGCCCTGAGCTCTGACTGCAGCTACCTTAACAAGTCAAGTGTCTGTCCCAGTTCCCAGCGTGCCCTGCAGCAGGGCGGGGCAGGTGGAGCCTTGGGAATCCTGCTGCAGCTAGCGCCATGTGGCCTACACGGGGAAGCCATGTGGGACCGGGAGCCTGGCCAATCCCCACTTTGGGCTTTTCCATTCCAATCCTTCCTGCCCCAGGAGGCTCTCAGGCCCTGAGCTCAGCAGCTGTCATTTCACACACATGGTGGTTCCGCCCTGGGGAATCCCCGGGCCCCATCTTGGCCACAAATGCCAAGGAGAGCTGGGAGAGGGCTTCCCTGCCTAGAAACCCATAGGGAAGGCCGAGGGCCAGCCCCATCCACCCCCGAAGGCCCCAGAACCCCACGGAACCCCTGCTGGAGTGTTCTGGGCCGTGAAGTCATCGCCCCCAGCCCATGCCAGGGAGGGCGGGGAATGCGACAGTGGAATATTTGTGTCTGCTGTGAGCCTGTACAGGACCTGGGCGGGGGAACTGTGGAGAGAAGTGGGGCCCAGCCCTTGGGGATGGGCCCAAGGCAGGGAGCAGCACCCCGTTATCGGCACCCACACAGCTCCGAAAGGGTGGGGCTGGGAGGGCAGCAACGTGAAAAGACTTGCCAGCCAAAGGAGGCAGCAGAATCAATTACAAGTGGTCCTGGGCAGTCATTTCTTGGGCCTGGTGGGAAGGCATCAGAATGTCTTTCCCAGAAGCCCAGTGCTGGTGGCCTAGTGGCTCAAGTCCTTGCCTTGCATGTGCCAGGATCCCATAGGGGCACCAATTTGTGTCCGGTGGCCCTGCTTCCCATCCTGCTTGTGGCCTGGTAAGGCAATAGAAGACAGCCCAAAGCCTTGGGATCCTGCACCCACGTGGGAGACCCAGAAGAAGCTGTGGGCTCCTGGCTTTGGTTCAGTTCAGTTCCAGCCACTGTGGCCACTTGGGGAGTGAATCAGCAGAAGGAAGATCTTATCTTTGGTTCTCCTCCCCTCTGTATATCTGACTTTCCAAAAAAAAATTTAAATAAATCTTTTTAAAAAATGTCCTGCCCGAGCAAACCCTGACCAGGACATGAGGGGAAAGAGTTCCTTAAAGCCCACACTGGGCTCCGTGGTGCGCGCACACACGGCGCCTGCTGCCCACCAAGTGCTATTCTCCCATGCTGTGCAAAGCACCCTCCCCACTTCAGCATCTCCGGCTTAACACGCCCACGGCCTGGAGAGGAGCACTCGCCTCTACCCGCCAGACTCCCAGCCCTGAGGGAGGGAGCTGCCAGCTCAAGGTCATGACAGGAGGACAAGGGACTGGCAGGACCAGGCTCCTTTCTGGTCCATACAGCCTGGCTGAGGTAGGCATCTCCCTGGGGCGGGGGGGCCTCTTTGTTTCTAGCGTGACCCCCCTCCTTTTTTTTTTTTTTAATTCCAACTCTGGCACAGGCCAGAGAAAGCTCCCAGCACGCCCTCCTGTCGCCTTCTGCTCTGCCACCTTCTCACGCAATGCCAGCCTGTGCTACCATCCAGTGTCACATTCCTGGCGCTCACACCTTCGAGCTAAATAAAGAGAGCCAAAGCCCCACTTGCAAGGGGGAGATGCGCTGTCCGCCTCAGCCATCTTCTTCCCACTCCCAGCCGATG